TGGTAATCTTTTTGATACCCTCATTCTCTGTGACCAAACACACTTCTATTTTCTCTGGTTTCATATTGTGAAACATTCTTTAACCTACATTTGGCTTGCTCTTATTCTGTTCTCCTGCCTGAGCAATGAATGCTTCACTATATAGATATTGTTTTTAACACAAAGAGGTGCCAATTTCACCTATAATTCTTTATCTAGGTATATGTGCAGCCTTATTGCCAATGCTTGGCTACCAGGTATACTAGTAAACAAATGAAGAAATCTGCCATTTCATCTGACACACACAGTACTTTATCTTCCAATGTTTTCACGGTACCTTTCCTCCTCAGGATATACACATTAAATTTTAAAGCCCTTTATATAAATAAAAATGGTGGATTAAGTTTGGCTGGCTGCCACCAGGTGCCCACAAACCTACTCTCTCATTCCCCCTTCTCATCAAGACAGGGGAAGATAGTAAGATGAAAAGGCTCATGGGTCAAGATAAAGAGAGGAAGGTAGTTTACCTGTTAATGTCACCAGTAAACCAGGCTCACCTTGGGGACTAGTAATTCATTGCCAATTAAAAATAAAGAAGGATAGTGAGAGAGACAAAACCAAAACTAAATCACCATCCCTCTCTCCTCCTCTTTACAAGTTCAGCTTCACTCCTCACTTTTCTACTTCCTCCCCCTGCCTGGAGCAGAGCATTAGGATGGAAAATGGGGGTTGTAGCCAATTCACAACACTGCAGGGGAATCTCAGTTCTGGTTCCCTGACCTCCTCCTCCTCCTCCTTCACTCACCTCAGTGTCTGCAGGGCTGTTTCTCTCATATTTCTTCCTCGCTCCACTCACTCACAGCTGCTCTACAGCATTTCTTAGCATATTTTAGATATGTGGTTGCAGAGGCACCACCAGTGTTACTAACTGGCTCAGCTCTGGCTGGCACTGTGTCCACTTGGGAGCCAGCTGGAACAGACTGTGTTCAACATGGGGGAAGCTGCTCACTCTCCCTTGTCACAGAAGCCACCCCTGCAGCATCCCTCAGTACCAAAATCTTGCCACATAAACCAAACAAGACAGTACTAGGTATAACAGCTGTGTGCATTGTGTTCATGTCTTTTTTTTTTTTCTAGTTTTGTGTGGTACAGAAGTGATAAGAGCTGAAAAAGACTGGCCACGATTGCTGTAATCATGTCACTCCAGCATTCTCCAAAGAATGAACTGCAAATCCTCACAGCTCAGACAAGCAGCTGTCCAGCAAAACTGCGAGATTCACTCCATATTGTCAGGCAAGGATGGAGAAGGGCCACAGTTCACCTTGTGTGGTCAGTAAATATTGCTCCCACATTCCTAGCCAAGGAGTGCAAGACAGAAAAATCAGTGACTCGGGGATTGCCTGAAAATCCAACGGCAGGGTCAGCACAGGGCAGATTCTGTAATACAACCTGCAACTGGTGTACTGAGATTTTCAGAGCTGCTAAAGAACCCACACTTCCAAACCAACTATCTAGACATAATGTGAAATCTGTTTCATAGTTATCTATCCCCTCCATGAAACATTTTCTTCCCTCTACCAGCTCTATGTTGGCTATCATGCATCTTGGCTCTCTCTCAAGAGCTTTCCATACTCACCGGACTGGAGCTGTTTCATCTTTCAGAGCGTACCATTCAGCTGGCAAAGATTCATAAAGGCACCAGAGTGCCCAGTCGAATCCATCTGCAGCCACTGAATACTGAACAAGCTCAAAGTCATCAAAACGAATGTTGTCAAATACTGGTGATATTATAACAGTGCGATCTTCTTTTAGTCGAGCCAGAATAGGTTCAGCCCTGCCAAAATTAACACACAATGCATTCAGCTTGGAAATGTCATGAACAGTGCTAAACTTTACCATCTGCCTCTAAACCTGGGTTAGCTACTTTAAACCATTGACTTTGGCCTCTACAAAAAGTTCTATGCCAGTCTTGGAGCGGTAGTAACCCAAACTGCTAATGCCATGGCTCAGTTCTCCCTTCCATTAGGCTGCTTCCATATTTTGACTGTCACTAATCAAACCAGCCATAAGTTCCACACCTAACTTGCTGGGTTTATTGCTACCTGGGTCTGCTTCGTAGAGGTTCCAGAGAGTCTTCACTATCTGCATGAAGAGACAAGAAGGAAAAAGCAAATGAAGGAGACGCTGAGTGGTGCTCTAAGCCCTGAGGTTGAATCATTCATCCTCCTTTGCTGTGCCTTGATGGCATGGCTGCTGTATGAGGGAAAGGGTGTGACTGATCATTGAACCCCCACAATGAAAGAAGGCTCAGAGAAGATAGGCAAGAATGATGTGCTCATCAAGTTCAAAGAAAAACACAGGGAGTGATCATAGCTGTCATACAGGAAGTTGAACTTGTTCCAAAATCAAGGGGACTGGAGCAATTTCTGTATTGGGCTTGTGCTGTGATTTCAGTATATTGCTCTACCACTTTTCTAAACCAAAATCCCATGTACCTTCTAAAAATTAGATTCAGTAACAAAGTAATAAACTCTTGTGTGGAATATCTAAAAGAACTTGGTCAGAGAAGACATGGACAATAGTCAGCTAGTGAATTCAACATCCCAAACGGGAGAGAATATAAAGAGATTTCACATAAATTAGTGTCATAGGTATTATTACCTAACAGAATGTAAATACCCATCATCAGCTATTTGTTTTGTCTCTCTTTGCAAAAAGTGTCTTAGAGAACTACAATACACTATTAAGCTAAGAGGCAAGAGCAAATAACATTAGCCAAAGCTGGAACAAGTATCAAACCTGAAGTCATTGTGTGTTACTGCTGTCTAATGTATATGTCAAGGTCCAAAGCTGCTGGCAGAGGAACTAAATAACCTACATCACTCTTATGTTATTTTACTGCATGAAGTCTTTTTTCCTAGAAATGGAATGAAAATATGGAGAAAGTAGGTATTTCTCTCCTCCTCTTTACTAAACAGCTTATTCTGTTACCTGTCTGCTTTGCTATTTATTTCAAACAATTATATCTCATTTATCTCAAAAATAAACAACTTGATAATAATGTAATGATTATAATAATGATAAAAATATAATAACGACTTATAATTTATTAATATTATCATTAACATGTTGCAGGCCAGAAAGGAGAACCATGTATGGGATGCTTGTGCCAGCTACACAGTTACACTCCCTGTCCCTCTCTCCACTTCAGAAGCCCTCGAGTCTTCATAGATCTTACCATGCTGTGTTCACTTCAATATGGGCATCCAAAATTGCCACAACATCTGCAGTCGATGCCTCCCAGCCAGAAACACGGGCTTGTGTTAGGCCTTGTCTTTTCTGATGTCTGACAATCTTCAGCAGTCCAGGATGCTTTGCGTTAAAATTTTTGATGTGTTTTTCCAAAGGTCCTTTCAGATCATCTAATACCAGCCCCCACATGGTAATGATTCAAAAAAAAACCAAAACAAAACAAAAAAACACACACACACAAAAAAAATAAAAAGTTAAACACTATTTAAAAATTTGAGATTATGTAGCTAATGGCTTTCTAGCTTCTCCCTGTTCCAGACTGAAAACTGATTTATTCTTTGCAATAGGATTATTAAGGTACTCATGAATTCAAGAAGCTTATTTTGAAAACCAGCCTACCAGCTTCCATTCCAAGAGTTCAATTAAGTACCTAAATTTCATTTACACACAGTAGTGTCGCAAGGCCTCTAAATGGTACACAAATACATCAGTGTGTAGAAACTTCAGATGTGGGACACTACAGCAACCAATTCGCTTAGTGTAGCAATTTCTGTGTGTATCCTCTAACCATGTGGAAAAGAAAAAAGAAATAAACGTCTAAAAATCTGAAATGCTCCTGAAAAAAACTGTAGGCATGCTGACTCCCTCACCAAAAAAAGAAACACTGTCAGAGAAAAGGATTAGAAAGTTGGCACCTCCTAGCATTGTTTTGGAAATTCACTTGAACTCTTGCTCCACCTAAGCTGATATGTTTTTCTAGCTGCTACAAACCCTTAGAAAAACAAGAGCTAAAACACAACTCACCAGGCAAGGAAAAAAAGAGCACCTTTAAGATCAGGGGCATGACTATGTCTTGCAAATGATTTTATGATGCTTTGTTCAGTTCAAAGACCAACGATGCACTCACTGCTTTCCCTATGAGCATTTTCCACAACCCAAGACACTGCTCTCTAGGGAGTTATTTCAGATACCTACAGAGGTAGTTTTCTTAGTGTACTCTTACTTTGGTACTGTGCCTGGTGAGGCAGGGTTCATAGATACTCTCCCACTTCATTTTTAACCTTTTTAGGTACTTGCAGAGCATCACCCTGTCCCTTATTAGCTGCCCTTTTCAGGCTGTTAAGGTGTGGTTTGGTTTCTTTTTCTCTTCCTTTCTTGTGCTCAATTTACTTCTTAATTTTGAGCAGCATACTTGATGCATAGCCAAAAGGCCATCAACATTCATCTAACACAACAGGGACACAAATTAGCAAGACTCTTGCCTTCTCTGGGTCACTTACCATTTGAACTGTAATCATCTACCAGGATGATTTCTTTCAGTAAATGAGAAGGCGTTCGGTTAATTATACTAGTAATTGCACGTAAGATGATTGATAGGGCTTCATTCATAAATATCAGCACAACACTGAGTGTTGGAAGGTCTTTTGGATAGGTTTTCATTATACAGCTGTAAAAGAAGACAAACAACTTCAGCACAGTTTCCAAAGAAAATCTGAGAGTAGGGCAGCTGCAAGAAGGCAGGATTGGGATGTTTGGCTTAACACATACAGTGAAAATCAGCATAGGAGTGGAAAAACAAATTCCCAAATCTAAATTTTATAGTGTCACAGTATCGTAGCATCGTTAAGGTTGGAAAAGACTCCTAAAATGATCAAGTCCAACTATCAACACAAAAGTACCATGACCACTAAACTGTGTCCCCAAGTGCCACATCTACATGTTTTTTGAACACCTCCAGGGATGGTGACTCCACCACTTCCCTGGGCAGCCCATTCCAGTGTCTCATCAATCTTTTAGTAAAGAAATTCTTCCTAATATCCAATCAAAACCTCCCCTGGTGCAACTTAAGCCCATTTCCTCTCATCCTATCGCTAGCTACTTGGGAGAAGGGACCAACACCAGCCTCACTACAACCTCCTTTCAGGGAGTTGCAGAGAGCAATAAGGTCTCCCCTCAGCCTCCTCTTCTACAGACTAAACCACCCTAGTTCCCTCAGGCACTCCTCATATGACACGTTCCCCAGACACTTCACCAGTTTCATCGCTCTTCTCTGGACCCGCTCCAGCCCCTCAATATCTGTCTTATCCTGCAGCATCCAAAACTGACCCCAGTACTCAAGCTGTGGCCTCACCAGTGATGAGTACAGAGGCACAACCCCCTCCCTACTCCTGCTGGACACACTATTTCTGGTACAGGCCAGGATGCTGTCGGCCTTCTTGGCCACCTGGGCACACTGCTGGCTCACGTTCAACCAGATGTCCACCAACACCCCCAGGTCCTTTTCTGCAAGACAGCTTTCCAGCCATTCCTCCCCAAGCCTGGAGCATTGCCTGGGGTTGTTGTGGCCCTAGTGCAGGACCCAGCACTTGGCCTTGTTAAACCCCATACAGCTGTCCTTTGCCCACTGATCCAACCTGTTCAGACCCCTCTGCAGAGGCGCCTGACTCTCAAGCGGATAATTATACATTATTAATTATTATTCATTTGAGTTGTGTTATGTACATCTATAAACCATTGGGGTTTTTTTCTTAGAAAATTTCTCTTAGAAAAAAAAGAGCCATTACCCAAAATTATTAGAAAACATTGAAACTAAACAACACAGTTAATTCAGCCAGCAATGATTAGCTTACAAGGCAGGAGGCATGTGATTGAAATTTGGATTTTGCATTTACAGAAGATGACAATGGCCAAAATTGACAGCAGACAAAAGTAAATTAGGTAATAGTCCCTTTGTATATGCAATGAAGATGATCAAGGTAGGTCTAGCTATACTTGTAAACTGACATATGAGAAAGTTTCCCTTGGACAAGAGATCTCTTTAAGAAATTCTTGAAAGAGCTTCAAAAATCCTCCTCACAGAGTAAATGAGGCCTTGTGAAACTCCATGGCACCCCAGAGTAAATTGTTTCCTGTACTGAAACAAAGTTATGTGTTAAATGAACACCTCTGGACTTCCTATGCACTGTCAAAAGATTTTTAAAATATTTTTTTAAAGTACATATTTGGGATAATTGTCAGCTCTGCTAATTAACAACCTGGCCCCTGGGAAGATGGTGAGGACAATTTCTTCATCGTGTGAAGCACTAACTCTAGAACAAACAACAGAGCATAGGTGGGTTCTCAGGCTGGTCATTCCCTCCCCTTAGAAATACACTCATGAAAGCAACTCAGACTGTGTAAAGCTACATAATGCTCCAGGTACACCTCTACATAGGTAACCGTGCACAAATTGAATAGATTTTCATTAGAATTTCTCCATTAGCTTTATCACCCACTAGTGCAAGGGCCTGAGTGAACATCTGCAAAAGGTGGTCTCTGCAAACACATCTTTATGGTGTATTGGTATTTCTTTTTGATGCCAAGCAGAAGAGTGCCAGGCATGGCACCTATTTCCTTGGGACCACAGAGACTCGTCCCCCACTTCCTCCAGCCACTCTGCAGCAGCTGCTCCAGATAGCTCTGAGAAAGATCTGCTCAGGGCTGCCCCCAGAGCACCTGTGGCTGGCTTACCCCTGCACAAGCCCCATCTCCCCTGACACCCTCCTCTGCAACACTGCCCCACAGACACCCAGAGTCAAGAGCAACTCATTGCTCTCTACCCTGGATGGAAGTGGCTCCATCCAAGCAGTAGAATGGGGACCCAGTTGCATAACTTTCTCTTTACATCTTCCAGAGGGCTGCCAGGAAGACAACTCCCCTTTTCTCCAGTAGGACATTGTTCATTAACGCACAGTTTGCAGTTCACTCTGCCCCTCACACCCTTTTCTTAAATACTCCATCAGATTTATTACAAGCAACTGCCACTACAAAGGTGTGGCTTGCAGTATATCTGTGACATTCTTCCATAATTACAGTTAATTCCTGTAAAGCTTATTATTATCTTCTTCAAAAACTCATACCTTATCATACTAGACAGAAAAAAGAAATGCTTCCTTTTTTAACAGATACTTGTTCCTAATGAATTTTTTAGTGGCTAGTTATGCCAGTACCACTGGGTATAATGGTACATAGTACCACTGGTACCACCACTCTGCTTAAAAAATGCCATCTATTGGCTTCAAGAAATAATGGATTCCTGGAAAAATCCCCTCAGCTTCCTCTTATGAAGTGGATTGTTTACATACATGCTAATCCTTTAGGTATTTACCTCACTATATTTCCTACATAATTAATCCTCAGAGGGGGAAACAGAGAGAGAGAAAATAAGGCTGTAAGGAAACTCATACGTCAGCAGTCCGTTATGGCTATTGATAACAAAGATAAGAGTGTCATGCCTACAATACTAAATATCAGAGTGCCATGGATTCAGGCCAAGTGCTGAATCTTCCCTCACCCTTCGTGGGACTCACTGGCCAAAAATTAGTTCCAGCCACTTCTGTTTTGATTTCTAGCCATCTTTTAACAAGCAGTATAGGTATTCCCCACTTACGGTCTGCAACATAGCTAACAAAACCAAGTATTTTCTTAAAAAAAAGGACTGAATTTGACAATGTTGGGGTTTAGTTCTTAATTGATTATGTTTTGGTGCTTTTCCAAAGTGAAGGTGAGGGAATGAGTTAAAACTCACCACTTTGGATATCCCAGCATATAGGAGGCTTACATAAGACAATGTAAGAGACAAGAGAAAGCATGCTTCAGATGTCCTGCCTTTGGGGCTTAAATGGAAACAGACCAGGAGGTCTCAGATCTTCTGAAGATTGTGGTTAGTTCTTCCCCTTTTTACTGACAGCTAGAAATTCTATATCAATTATAACACTAACATCATGTTCTTTTTCCAAAGTGTCTTCTCCACACTGACTTCTTTTCAGTCTTTCAGAGTATTACAAGACTGAGCAAGACTTGGAAGAAAATGATAAAAAAACCCTAAAGAGAGTGAAAATTGAGATCTGTTAGTAAATTAAAACTTGGTCCAAATCACTGCAGATCCCTTTCCCTTTAATTTCATGTCTCCTTGTGAATGTAGAGAGAGATTATACTGCACCTGGGAGATCTGGTGTCTCTGATAGGTCGATCCAGAGGCAGGTGATCACTGAGATAAACATTATAGCCATAATTTAAGAACAGATTCTGTGCAGCAGTTTGCTCCTCTTCCCTTAAACCTGCACCCCAGCGTTTGAACAGAACCGAGTCTGGGTACAGCAAAGGGTGTACAACCTTCTTTTCCTCCTTCTTGTCATCAGCTTTGTGCACGTCAGCCTGGGAGTGACCTTGCAGCTTCAGGTTATGTTCTATTTGGTTTACACTTTCACGGAACGTTTCCACTGACTTTGCTGATAGAAAATAAAAGAGGATTAATTATAACAGCCATGGAGAACACTCACCATCACTGCAACTGAGACAAGTTCTTGTTATAACACTGCAGGTCAGCAGATGCATGAGGTTACAGCTAAACTGATATTCACATGAGAAGAGCATGAGACCCTCCTTGCTACATGAGAACAGCTTTAAACATCACATTTCACAGTACCCTGCATCAGGTTCTGGTCTCAATTGCATGAGCACAGGACACTGCACTGGCATTAGTGGAGAAATCTGGGAGCAGAGACAACACACTGATTGTTAAACTGGGTCCAAATCATTTCCATGATGTTATGAATGAGTTAAATTAATATATTAGTGGTCTGTAGTGGGATTCCAAAATAAGACAGGTTGCTGATACCATATTTACCTTCAAGGTAAATACAGTGAACGAGCCCTTCACCTTCGTCAAACATAGCACAATCTTTTGATGTCTGCTCAGAAAGATTGGAACGGGTGTCAACTCCAGCCTCTGCAAGGTGGTGTTAGGTTCACAACGGTGTCATAAAGAACAGGCACAGGTGGCCTTGTGCAGGGTTGTTCAGAACATGTCGTTATCGAAGCCAGATACAATAAACTACTCCTCTGCAGCAGGTCAAGGGAGGTGATCCCTTCCCTACTAGTTCAGCACTGGTGAGGCCACACCTGCAGTACTGTGTCCGCTTCTGGGCTCCTCAGTACAAGGGAGACACGAACATTCTGGAGCAAACCCTACAACAAGCCACTGTGACTATGAGACTGCAGCATCCATTATAGAAGGAGAAGCTGAGAGCACCTGAGAAAGCTTGGAGGGGGAGACATGACACTTATTGATGCATATGAATGCTTTATGAGAGGACTGACAAAGATGGAGAAAGAGTCTCCTTCAGGCACCCACTGAAAAGACAAGAGGCAAGTGGGCACAAATTGAAATACAGGAAATTCCACTTAAACATAAGATTTTATTTTAGTGTATTTTAATTTTTTTAACTGCTGGAGTGGCCAAAAAAAATATAAAATAAAAAAAGAAAAAAACAGCAGGTAAACCAGACGGGTTATTAAGTCTCTGTCCTTAGAAATATTCAAACCCCAACTGGATGATTTCCTGGCCAACATGCTCTAGCTGATCATGCTTTGAGCAGGGGAAGAGGTAGGAAAGACCACCTCCAGCAGTGCCTTCCAATCTCAACTATTATGTGATTCTGTGACTAAGTATTGAAGACTTAGCTTTCTTTCATAAGGCTCTAAAATTACCTACAAAAATATGCCCCACTGTTGATATCCATGAGAACAGGTGCCAGCAAAGACACGGGCATCAAGGACAGTTATATTATGGGATACTGGTGCTTGGGATAGGGGATATTAAACCTGAGCAAGCGCTCATGGGGAAAATTCCTCACCAAGTTGCAGGGTGCCTCAAGTATCATTGCAAACAGCTACCTTCAGGCTTGGGTGACTGAGGCATTCCGTTTCTTCTTTTGATCTGCAAAGCATGCATCTAGCTCTAATGTGAGGAGGTGCTGACAACATGAGTGTCAAAGCAATGCCACCCAACAGGGTTCTGGCTGCTTCAGCCCTCCCTACCACTGCCACGAGGTGATGAGATTCAACTGACCTGAATGAAGTGGGAATTGAAGGGGTCCAAAAGAAATAGGTAGACTCTTTGGCCCTTATTCAGATGGCTCTATTGTGCTCACTTCCCAGCAACCCAACCTACAACAGATACCTGAAAACAAGGTCAAAATTCACGAACCTTGCCCTGAGAAAGAACAGGCTTTCTCTAAATTAATATTGTTCATATACAGGCACATGGGCTGGGGTGCTGTTTGCCTTCCACTGTCATGGGATGAGAGAGCAACAGTCCTGCCAGCAGACTTCAGCTAATGCTGCTTGGGAACACAGCCTAACGGAGCAGGTGATACAAAGTTTATCAGTGTCTTTACCCCACAGCAACTCCATTGTGTCTGTGCTCAAGGTACATAAAAGAAAAAGAGCAAGTCACAGTCCCCCTTGTTGCTCACCCACACAGCAGCAGCTGAGGAAATGGGGCATTTCTTGTTTCCTCAAAAATAGCTTTTTATGGCAAAAAAAATAATGGCAAGAATAACAGCCACCTGAGATCAGCATGCTGGTGCAATCACCTTAAAATTGCTTACAAATTCTGAAAGAGTTTGGGGTCAGGAGCTGTCTAATATGCAAAAAATCACTATGATGACTGTGAAAGATTATTTAAGTAGAAAAGCCATTGACTCTTTTGAAAAAATTACAATAAGAAAAAAAAAAATCCGAAGTGTCCAGGGAAACCCAGACAGTATCATTTCTAGCCTTCAGGAAATCTAGATATCTAATCCACAAAAAGTTAAGCAGCTTGGCATTTTACTTACAGAGGTTACGAATGTTCCAGTCCAAAGTGTCCAGTCTCTGAAGGATGATATTTTCTCGTTGTGGAAATCGCCCCCTGACTTCCAGTGAATCAAGCCTTCCCTTTCTTTGCTCTTGCAGTAAGTGCACAAGGTAACAGACAAAACCTGCGTTCAGGATTAACAGTACAACTTTATGTGGTCTTTTCCAGGGTGCCATTGTAAGCTTGAAGAAACTCGGCGTTCTGCTGCTGGCTGGAGTTTGTCTGCGGTTCTGGGTCTGCATGGAGTCTCCTTTCCAAATGCACCTTTCCAATTGCCTCGAGTTGACTGAGAGCTAAGGCTGCTCGGATGAAGCAGTTATCAGAGTCCAATGAGTCACAGAGCAGATGATGACAAGGTACTGCCTACAGGTGCTTTCACTTTTATGCCTATATGTACTTATAGAAGTTGAGCTTCAGCTGCCCACTGAAGCTCCTCTTAAGGAAACACTCCACGCCAGGGTCGCTTGGACAACCTTCCTGATTCTGGAGCAGCCAAGGAAAATTCTTCACGTAGTGTACAGGAAAAAAAAGACTGACTTACCATGGGCACTGCTGGCTGAAGGGGTGCAGAAGCTCCAGGAACAGCTTGCAAACACAAGGTAAGAGAAGCTTCACAGAGCTCCTCACACTCTTGCTAAAGAGCCACGCTAACTCCTCTCCACTTATCTGACTCCATTACCACCAAGCTGGGGCTTCTCTAAGTAGCCTGGAGTCACCTTTGTTGCCAACCTTCCCAACAGCCACAGCTGACCACCCCTGAAAGCTTCCTCAGCTGGAGGCAGTTGGACATATCAAGCCAGTTATAGCACTGGGTTTCTGCTCTGTCTGACAGGTCTGGGTTCTCTATTTGGTAGCTTTGACCAAGGACTAGAACCTGAAGGGCATTTCCTGCAAGCAGATTGAGTTTGCAGTAGTCCAGTAACCTTAAGACAAGTGACCTTAATAGTTTAAAAGCAAGGAACATGCATCTTCTATTGCCAAAACTGAAGAAGTTGCTGTTGTCAAAGTTTGATGTTGGCCAAGACGAGTAAATCCATGGTAGAGAAAAATCGTGAGATACAACCACAGCAGTAAATAAAACTACATCAAGGCACAGGGTCATTCATTTCCTAGTCATTCCCAATGCTACAATTGTTCACATGTTCCTGCCTGCACCATCTAGAACTTTGACACAGAATACTTGCCACAATTTGCAGCACAAGACTTACCAGAGATGCTTCCCATGGGAATAACTCAAGGTCAGTGAGTGTGTTCTGGTCAGCACACAGGACAGAAGAGCCAGGTGCATGTGTGGTGGGTGGACCCTGGCTGGATGCCAGGTACCCACCAAAGCCACTCTATCCCTTCCCTCCTTAACTGGGCAGGAGGGCAAAAATATAATGAAAGGTTCCTGGGCCAAGATAAGGACAGGGAGAGATCACTCACCAATTACCATCACGGGCAAAACAGACTTAAATTGAACTAGTTGCTGTAAGTTATCACCAAACAAAATCAGAGTAGGACACCTTCACTCCAGCTCTCTCTTCTTCCTGGGCTTAACTTCACTCCCAGTTTTCTCTACCTCCTCCCCCAAGGGGCACAGGGGACAAGGAATGGGAGTTGTGGGCAGTTTATCACGTCTTCTCTGCCACACCTTCCTCCTCCCCCCATAAAAACCTTGCCACACAAAGCCAATCCACTGTGCCACCAACTTTGTCCTTTCACTTACTTCCAAGGCCTAAGAACAATCTGTCAACTGGTCTTTCATGGCAATACTTCATCCACAAAACACTGCACCTCCTTCTCCTTAACAATGCTGGCCAAGCCAGAAAATGAGAGGCCTGATATTTCATTAAGAATACAAAGTAATCATAAAAAAAAAAAATAGGCAAGAGAATAGTTTTGGTTAGGTTTTTGACAACTCCAAGAATACAGAACTTGGACATGTCAATCAATAGGTTGTTTGGTTCATATATGTTAAAAAGCTGACCTTCAAGTGGAGAGGAATCCTGATGCACAAAACGTATGCTTACCTGTGCTAAGATACTCCTGCTTCCTTTAGGCTTTCATAACCTTTATTTGGTGGTAGTTTTTTTTAAGGAGGAGAAGGGGGAACATCACATTACCATTTAAAAAAAAAATACCACTTTACAATTTTATTGTTTTCATGAACACTTAGAAGACAAAAGTATTTTCACAAAACATACAGCTTATGCTTTTGTTGAAGTTCTATGGAAATCCATGAAAAGGAAATATGAAGGACCTTGGGACAGAAACAGAGATAGAAAAAAACTGGCACAATGAGATTCATCTTGGGAATGAAAAAAACTAAGCTAAAAAAAACAGAGCAGATAGTATTGTGAAATCCAGTAAACAGTGTAACGTGGACAACTGCCAACAAATTAACTACAGTGTGAAATCCTAGGAAAAAAGGTAGGGCAGTCCAGGGTTCACAAGCTAGGCAAGTCTGCTGGCTGTAAACTCTGCTCAGACCACAGCTGAAATATTAAGCTGTTACTATTGCACAGCCTGTTTTAGAGCCATTAAAAAAAAAGATAATTGGAGGGAGCAAAGAGCACCTCGTATTGTACATATCATGGCTAAACCACAAGTATTACACACTGTACATGTACAGGATATCTTAACAGAACAAGTGTAGCACGTATTAAAATATTGTGTATTTTAACATGTTTATTTTTCAAATACTGTGTGGTTAAAGTACCAACAAAATACTTTGGTAATAGGAACATTTTGTGCATGGGTGAGGTATGCTGGAGTGAACAGGAGAGGAGGTAAGCACACCAACGAGAGCTGTACCACTTAACTCACTTTCAGGAGCAAAGAATGATTCTTCACTGATCTTTTGTTTCAGCACAGGTATCACTGTGATACATTGGAGGAAGGGAGGAGGGGCAACAGTTTCTAAGATGCAGAATTTCTGGGGCTGCTGGTAAGCACACTCAGCACCCTCCACAGCTAATGAGGAAACACTGAGTGAAAGTTTCACACTAGCTGAAGTCAGCAGCATTTTTTGCCAAACTCAAGACCCACCATGGTCAAAGCAGGCTCCTAGGGACACAGGTCACCTTCTAGTACAAAGAAGGGCAGTGCATTGGAACTGGAGTAGGAAGAGATGGTCCACATCAAGGAAAAAATCCTGCACTAGCCAAGCTGCATGTAGGGAAGGAAGAGAAGTGAGAAACAGCAAATCCTGAGCAGGAGACAGGCTGCAGAAAGTAGAGGCACCCAGCATGCTGCAAGCCCATTGCCACGTTGTGCTCTGCCAGTGACCTCTTGTGGGGAGGGTGGAAAACAACAGCCCCCCCCCATACCACTTGAGAGACACCCTGCACAGAGGTGTTAAGCACGAGTCCTCACGTTTGAAGGCCCCGCAGTACTCTGCAAATAGCAGATGGGCTGTAAAACTATTGCAACGTGAGATACTTGGGGGAGGGTAAGGAGGAAGATCCTCTCCATAAACAAGGATAAAAATCACAGATGAAACTATTTTAGTAATTTTATTCTCTGGATTGTATTATAAAGTAAGTGGGTTTTGTTTCATTTACATTCAAGACCCCTAAAGAACTGCTTTGGCTATAAATGAGAAATCATGTAGGAAGGTAGGAAGCAGAACTGCTGTGTAAGGCAAAGTACTGCAGGAAACAAAAGCTGCAGCAGCTGAGCACTGATGTGATGCTCAGCTTTACCAGCACTCCTATCTGACATGGAACAGCTGCTTAAAGAAAACTCTTCAGGGCTATCCACCTCCCGCATGTTCTCCATCTAAGTTATCCAAACAAAGATCCTGTAAGAGTGATCTGTGGTGCAACTGAAGCCACTGGTAAAGCTGGGCTTTGAATGGGAAAGCCCAAAAAACTAAAAATCCCTGCATTACAGTAAGAATTCCCAGAGTTGGCACTAACATCCCAGCCTTAGCTTTGGCAGCTTTTCCTGCCTCAGTTTGCCACCTGGAAATGGAAGGTGCTCGTTGTTGGCCATCCAGGACTATCATGGTAATTGTGTGTCTCTGTACTGTGTGCACGTGTGGCATAGTTCAGAAATGCCACTGCTTCCATAGTAGGATGTTAATAACATGCAATCAATCAAGATTACAGCCACCCGTATTAAATGAGCATTAATGAGGCTACTTATATACTGCTAGATTCTCATGGGGAAACACCTGCAGTCAGAAAAATATTAAAAGTTAAGCATCAAACTATTATCAATACATACCTCATTTCCAGTTTGTCCAAGCTTTTGAATGTTTGAATTTGCAGATTTATTTTAAACCAACTCAGCTTTTGTTATCAAAAGACAAACAATTAATGAGAACCAAATTGAATACATAGTAGGCAGGACCCCAAAATTCATAAAGCCTACCTTTTCCTACCAGAGTAAACAGGAGCAGCAGTATGTTGAATGTGGAAGAACAAAATGTGGATGCTGTTGAAATTTCAGCAACACTTTGTACAGGAGTTTCACAGTAGTTTGGTAACAACACAAATAGTGAGGTAACTTCTGCTCCAGCAACCAGTGTGATCTAATCAAGACACTCCATGCTTTCCCTAACTTTGGCCTTTATTTTTTATTTCTTTCCAGTTTGTCTATTCTCTCTTTCCTAGCCTCCTTTTTCATCATCTATTCCATCCCACTCTCCACTTCAGACTCCCCCTCCATTAGGCTTCTACCTTTGATACCCATCTGTCCAGCTTGTTCCTGTTCCTTCCCTCCACCTTCCCATCCAAAGAGAAGTAAGAGGAAGCTTGGAGGTGAAAACAAAATGTTCTGTCACTCAGTTTAACCCCTCTCAGCCCTAGTTAAAATCAGTTTCCCCACCAATCTCACCTTATTGTAGTGCATGTGATTTGTCCTACTTCCAGAACTAGTAGCTAGCTCCTTGACTCAAGACATGTCTTCCTTCACATCTTGAAGCCATCAGAACACTGCACTGCATATGGCAGATCAAGATCTCTGCTCTCAGCTCTGTGCACAGGCTTACTCAGCTCTATGCTCCATCCTAGCATATAGCATCCCTGCCAAAATTTAACCAAAAGCCTCTAGCAATTCTATGGCTATGGAAACAGAAAGCACAGTTCTTGAACAAATTCATGCAGGGATGTTTCTTTCATCTTAAAATGACTGAAAATACTTAATCCTGAAGCAAAGCTTATCCTTCTTACCAAAAGAAAGACAATGTCCCAGAACAGGAAAGCTTTGAGCTAAAAATACTTTCTCATTTAAAAATGGAAGAAATCACACATTTCCTCATGTCTATGAGCCACAGCACACACACTATCACAAGAGAAGAGCACACAGCAGCTTGCTTACGTGTCTGATTGGCACTCCTTGACCTTGGAAACAGCTCACGCTGTGTTGGTTGGCATTTTCTACAATAGTTGTGCTCAGGGCAGAACACAAAGCTCAGAAAAGTCACAACTTAAAAATAGGGGTTTATCTTAGACCTTATAATCTGAATAGGTGGCAGTACCAGCTCCCCCTCTTGGAAAGTACATGGTCTAGGCCACAGAGTCCTGAACCACAACGTTCCTCAAGCCACTTGAACACTTACTGAGGCTCAGTGATACGGTTGCTTTGAGAGCCAAGGGAGAAGCTGACTGGTGTTAAGACACCTTCAAAATACTTCAATGCTCACAAGCTAAGCAACAATACCTAAATACGTTTTCCTGACCTTTTAAAGAGAAAAGCTGCATTTCAGTGACAGTCTTCCACAATTAAAAAGACAAGACCAGCGAAATATCGTTTAACATGATCAATATGCTTTACTGGGTATGTACACAGTTCTCCAAACAAATTGGGTCATACAAAGGAAGTTTAAGAAGTGCTAAAGTAAGCACCTTATCAACTGTTACACGGGGTAAGTCTTAGCTGGTTTTGCCTCCTCCAGCTCAGCGTCCAGCCAGCGGTACCTGCGGTGGCGGCGCAGGACTTCGATCGCTTTTTCTTCTAGAGCTGTTGGCTGAATACCCAAATCTTCCAAACCAGGAAGGTCAGGAAATGTCATGTCGGTAGTGTGAAACTTTAAAAAAAATATAAAAGAGAATTAATTGGACAGAATGAACAGCCTTACACCCCATGACATACTAAAAAACCATATTGTGTCCTTAGACCCAAGGTCATCATCTTTTCTTTTATGGAAACAAACTGGCACTGCCAGTTCCATTTGGGTTGTTAAAAGTGCCATTGGCTGGATGGTACAGGTGATTTTAATGCATCTAGAGGTACATAAACTCACTAGCTACCTACAAGTGGAGAGCACACCCACTCTCCATCACTTAGCTGCACATTGCACGTCCAGCCTCTGCTTTGGCTTTGCTGTGTTCAAGAGCACATGTTTTGGAGGAGAGGGGTGGGGGCACAGCAAAGCATGAAGCCTGGACCACTTAACACTTAAGAAGGTTGGGCCCTTTCCCTGCCCCTCTTATGTTACTTCTTGTTACAGAACCCCCTCACCAACTGCTTCACCCACCATCTTAAATGTATTTAGAGAAATATTTTAACTATTCTTCTTCCACTAATGCCAGTGGAAAGACTACATCATAATGATGGCTTTTAAAAAAAAGTTCTGTTAGTCCCTCTCTCTTACAAAGTCTGTGTAGAACTACACCAGAGGAATCTCCAGATTGCTCTGACAGTGTATCCCCTTGGTACTGTAACAGGTCTGGACAAATAAGTTCAGAGCAAGACTGCAGAAGAGTAGCTGCAGCAACTGTATGGCAGGAACCATAACCCCTATTCAGGAAGGTTATATATAGACATCTTTAAAAACATTTTTGTTGTATGCAAACAGCCTGAAAGCAATTCTTTAAAATCAAATTCTAGCCATGGAACTGAATGAAGTATTACACCACATGATGTACAGACTTTTCAGCCTTTCTTGAATGCAAAACTACGAGTGCAAGTTGCAAACATGCAATGAAACCTTTCCCAAGAACTTGTGGGCTGCCCTACACTTACCCGATCCACTTTGTCTCGTGTTATCCATGGTTCAAATGGATTAATCTCAAAGAATCTTGCAACTAAACTGTAATCAGAAAGTTTTGCAGAAGTATAAACATTATCCAGATGCACGGAAGAAAATGAGAACTGGTAAAAATATTTCACACTTAATAGACAGTGAGCAAGAGCTTGTTCTGTAGCTGTTCCTGCAAGCTATGAATTCATTAAAACAATGAACGTGCCAGCCAGTAAGTTCTTGGTTGTGTTTGTGGTAACTTTGTTTGCTACTGAATTATTCAATCTCCTTTTACTTTGGAGAGGAATGGAGGAGCAGATATGTAGAAGTAAAAATGAGCTTTTAGTGGGTGGGCAAAGTAAACCCCACACACGACAAGGTTCAGTCTTGCCCCTGCCTCTCCTGCAAACTCTGCTCCCCAGTAGTGTACACAGTAATCCAATTAGTCATGAAGTTGGACTCAATGCCTCCATGAGAAAACACGCTTGCTGACAACCCAGTGAGTTAACACCCGCACAAACAAGATGACAGAATCTGAAGCAATCTGCATCTATTAAAAGGGTGAGGATCTGAATCTTTGCAGTTTCCAGAAATGGAGTTTCCCTTCAAACACTGAAAATCTGGCAGAGAAAAAAAAAATACCACTACAGCCCTTGCTCAGTGTCTCAGGACACGCAGTATTCAAGGCAGAATCTCCTACTCGCAGTGCCCACCTGGCAGACTTGGGTGTTACTAAGCTACTGCACGTAAACAGAACTAGGCTTATCTGCCTTTTCCAGGCACTCTTTTCTCAAAAATACCAAATACCACTTAGTTTAGCCCACAAAGAAAAAATGGACTGCAGCAAATGTGAACAAAACTAATAAGCACCCACATAGTTACTTTTTAATGAGCTGCTCCGTGTCTGCTGAGCCACATTAACCTGATGCCCCAACAGCCAGTTTGGAAAGAGCCACAATGGTTCAGGATGTTGTTCCAGCATTATTCATCATCAGTTACATGAATCCAATGATTGAGTCCTACTAGTATATTAGTAGGAGGGCTCCAGCATTGGTGATTTGTTTTAGCTTAGCAGTTTGTATCGTACTAAAATTGAGGAGGATCAGCACCCCAAATGTTAACGCATCTCAGCCATGTTGAGGGCAGCTTCTGAAATGGGATTTACTGTTTGAGGTAGCTCTTCAAAAGGATGTGATTAGGCTTTAAGGACTAGGCCCAGGCTCAGATTTATACTGTACTTTTTCATACACTACTACTCAATAGCTGCAATTCTATCCTCGGTGCCCCTGAACTCAAAACGTACAGCTGCAGAAGCAGCTCAGGTATGCAAACAGAGCCTTCATAGCCCATTCACTGTAGTCAACTGATGCTGCATCTTTCCCTTTTTCTCTCCCAATTTATTAGCATCTTCTGAAGATGTTACTGCCCTCATATGGCAGACAAGGAAATGCTTGCTCACAACTGCACTGCTCAAATTCCCAGGCCAAGATGTCAGTATAAACTAACCTCCAACACTGGCTCAAATCAATGCAAAGGACTGAACTAGAAAGTCAATCAATACCCATATCCATCCTTTCCCCAACTCTGCTTCCAGGGTGGCAGTGATCACCAGACTGGAAGGAGAGCTGACAGTAGCAATGCCTTAAGGCGCTGCAGAAAAATCTGTCAGGGCCTACAAACAGCAACATACACACTGATTTGGTACTAACAGAAGTTTGTTTAGTTTGCTACTGACTGTCTCTACCAACCAGGAATAAAAAATAATCAATGCAACACAGTTATTTAGGCTCCCCTGCCACCTGGTTGATCCCAAATTCTCAGTGAGGGAAGGGTCCCACTTACTGGTAGAGAGGACGTGGAAGCGGGTAGGGAAGAAAGGTCCGAAAGGCGACTGCGTAGATGTATTCCACCATGTCATACAGCAGGTACCGCTTCGGTCTGAAAGAGAAAGCAACAGAGATTACAGGCACAGTTAAATATTTGCAGCAAGAGACAAAAGTTTGAAAGCCCTCCACCTCCAAGCCTAACAAGGGCCTGTCTTCCTCAATTGAAGTGATTTGCCCGATTTGTCGTTTTCCTCGCAAGAGGGGAACAAATTTTGGTCTTCCAGATTCTCTACTGTCTGAAAAAAAAGAGTGATTGAGTTTGAAAAACATCATCTGACATTAATGATGGTAACAATCTATGTCACAAACTGCAAAAATGTTTTGTCACTGTGCTGGGTGCTGGTGCCCAGGTGCTGGCAGGCTGGGCTGCAGGGGCAGCGTCTTCCTCGATTGAAATGATTTGTCGTTTTCCTCGCAAGATGGGAACAAATTTTGGTCCTCCAGATTCTCTACTGTCTGAAAAAAAGAGTGATTGAGTTTGAAAAACATCATCTGACATTAATGATGGTAACAATCTATGTCACAAACTGCAAAAATGTTTTGTCACTGTGCTGGGTGCTGGTGCCCAGGTGCTGGCAGGCTGGGCTGCAGGGGCAGCCTCTGGAGAGGTTGGGGCTGCCCTGGACTGGGCACAGACAGGTCCAGGGGACCTCTCAGCCAAGATGATGTCACCTCTGGGAAAACACATTTAAGGAAGGGCAAAAATGCCATACATTTTTTGGAGCATCCGTTTCAGTGCTGGGAGAGGGCTCAATTTGTACAAGCCCACTTGGCAGTTTGTAATAGAAGGAAGCCAGAAAGCAAACGGCAAAATTAAGAAAGGCTTGTTAATGAAACATCCCATCTTTGGTAGCAAACAACTGCAAAGAAATTGATTTACTTGTCTTTGCTTGACCAAGGACACCCTGTTCTCTTCAAAAGCAAGAGGAAGCAAGTAGGATAAATTCCCCCAAAAGAAAGCATCCCTCTTTCTCAAGACGGAGAGGAGGAAGCAGTCACTTTTCCTGCACACCTGCAGCAGTTTAAGAGAAACATACACCATTGGGAGTTCCCATTCCTTTCTTGTTCAGACTTTGCTTTAGCATTTTAATACTCTGTCTTCATAGCTGGCTCACACTGTAACAGGTATCTCCCTTGACTTTCACAGCAACTCGCTGGTATTCCAAAACACTCTGAAAACCTTTATGACAACAAACAAGAGCACACTGCTGTGCCACTGCAGTGTTTCAGCCTTCAAGACATCCTGCTGATCACAATTAAAGCAGCAATGAGCACACCAAAAGTGTCTCCTAATGGTTTGTTGTACTTTTCAGCTAAGTCAGAGACCACAGTGACATGACAATCACATTGAGACTGATTAATTCCCAGGCAGGGAACTCTTAAAGATATAACTGTCGGGTTTTTTCCCATCTTCAGTCCCCCCCTGCCCCACCCCAGTAGTTTTCTTTTTACATAAAAGACACTGAATTACTGTTGGAATCTAAACCCCCACAAAAATGAAACCATACTAAAGTAAGACTAAATAAGCAAAAATTCAGAGAGTCCAAAAATCCAAGGACTATGATACAAAGAACATGGATTTCAGTTTGACAAACCCAGATCTCATAGATGTCAAGGTCTGAGGCTGCATGCACAAAAACTGAGCCTTCAATTGACATGTTCATCAGAAAGAACAGCAATGCTAATAATCATAACTAGATTTTGTTAATAAATGTTGGAAAAAAGACTTAACCCCAAACTGCTACTACTTTAGTTTGTAAAGCAAAGCAGGGCAAAGCAATGTAATGGATATACTTAAAACTAGGCCAGTATATTTGGGAGAATTCAAAAGAATTCAACACTCAAAACTCCTTATCAGCTTAGCCCAAGCAGCTGGCTTATAGAATCTGAGTGAGATCTGCATTTACACTAAAGGGCTATCATAAAAAAAAACCCAAGGTATTTACTTCTGTCAATAGAACTTCCAAGTGAAACACAGCAAAATAGGGTAATGTCAAATTTATTTAGCTGAGGAAAAAAATCCCAAACTTTGTTTTCATTAGTTATTAGCAGGGTTTTCACCATGTTTTTTGCCCTTACCTTTTTTTGCCCTAACCAAACTTAAAAATGCAAAAATAATTGGTAAAGGCACAAACAGTATTTATCAATCATTTACAATAAAGCTTCACCAAGAACAGAATCACATTGAGGTGTCATTACATCACCCACAATGCCATCAGACAGCAAGCTCTAGAGAGCATCAGCATTCAAGATTAAAAAAAAAATTTAACAAGTGGGTGAAGTAAAACCAATAACATGGAAGAATGAGGTGTACAGGTCAAAAAAAACCATACCAAATCTTCAGTCTTCAGAAGTAACAATGACACCACTAGCTGTCCTAGTTAAAATGCTATTCCACCATATAATAAAAAAAATAAACAAAAAAGGAAGTAGAATGCTCTTTTACAAAATTAAGATTTTAAATTCAAACTGGTAACTCCTTTTAAAAAAATAAAGCATCTCATCCAGCTTTTGTCAAGGGTTGTGCTGCAGAGTTCCTCTGGTTTTCCAACACTGATTTGGATCTTCAGTTTAGACCATCATTTATTCAGAGTATGTTATGTGCCTGAAAGTGTGTTCCCTGCAGTGACATCCTTGGCGCCCTCGCTTGCATTCTTGCCTCTGAAACCTGGGCAATGAACTCATGGCCTTCTGTAAATTGCCAAAAAAAAAAAAGAGACTTTGCAACCCCAAGAATACATTCAAAGTCTGCAGCCAAATGGAAGGGCAGTTGGCTCAACAGTGTGCTGGTTAGTGTGCAGTTCTCAATTTTTCCTGCAGTTGGAGCAGTTGCTTCTGCTGAGAGCACAATAAAACTAAAAGCAGGCACCTCATTCCTTTTGTGGCAGGGGGCTTTGGATACACACTGACCCACCTTCAGGTTTGCTCCAAAAGGATAAAATAATCACTCAAAGGGTTAATTTTGACATTAGTTGTGTCTGACACCTAGATATCTATTTCCTTTGATTAAAAGTGTGGTTTTGTTTTGAATGGCTGTCTAGCATATGTTCCACTTGCTCTTCAGTGTGATGCTTCATGTCACCCCAGTGATCTGAAAGCAACCTCAAGTTATTTAATAACCTTACTGTTAGTAATCCTTTCAAACCATTGTTAGCTTCTTACTCTTATTTTGCTAGTTTTTGAGCAGAAGTTCCTCAGCATGATCCAAAAGAAGTTGAAGACCTGCCTTTTCCAGACCACCAGCACACAGCACACCCATCCTAGCTGCCAGGATAACACCTTCCTCAACAGCTCAGTCACAGCACTGAAGAAAGTGACATATGAGTAAAAGACAAACCAGCAACAACCTCTGGCAGTGGGAATGAAGAGCTGTCACTGCAACAGCATCACAGAACAAACATGGAAAAAACAATGTAATCTCAGATAGGCCTTTTGCAAAATCCAGCTACTATGCACCTTTTCAGTGTACAAGGGAGGAAGACAGATATGCATGCAACAGAAAAAAGAGATGTGTTCTGCATCTCTTGTATCTTGACTAATTAGCAACTGTTTTCTTTATCAATGAACTTGCTACATCTACTGGATGAAGATCAAAGCATGGACACCCAATACCTTGGCATTTGCCACGTTCTTTATTTTTAAGGCTAATGACCAATTCTGACTTGTAGCTTTTGTACACAAAATATTCCAAGAGATTCACAGCCCCTGTCCATTCTAATTCCAAGTGGATTCCACACAGCTTTAGCAGAATTTTCTCCTAATCTATGTTGTCTAGCATGTTTCCCAAGACTGTCTTATTTCTTTGTGCACATACACATAACATTAAATGCAATGGGGCCCAAACTAGGATTTTCCGAGTACTCACAATAACAGCTTGAGTCACTTTTTCCTCCCGAAAAGGAGGTGGAATTTACTGCAGCTCAAACTGTGTACATGGATAGAGAAATTAAATGTACTGTGCAGCATGCCAAAAAATGACACCAAAAAGAAGTACTTCAGTTAATTAGAATCAGAAAAGTAACCTACCCAGCCAAGGCATATGTTTTTCCTTTTGCATCAGGATCCTTAATGGCATTAATAATTGCCCGTGCTACATCAACCACCTGCAAGGAAAAATCAGATAACTACCAACAGAAAACAGGAATGCACACACACCCCCCTCTTTCAGAAGTGATTTACAGAAAGGAAGGAACCCCAACACAGACACACAGAGGATTTGGGATTGTCTTGTTCTGTTGCAAACTTACGTATACTGGTTGCTTCAGTGTTTTTTTCCCCAGAGATATGAGAGGCACGCCACCAAACCAGCGCATGTCTGACAGAAACACACAGACACAACTGGAGAATGAAAACTCTCAATCCTTCCAGTAGAGCAAATAAACAGATTTTGTACTACCTTGAGTGTAAATTTCTTCTGAAAACTGACTCCACTTAAAAAAAAAGAAATAGAACTGTGAAGAATCACCTTCCAATTTCACTAGTGCTGTTTTCAACACACATTTGGTTTCCTTATTAACAATGATGGGCAGGTTGCATTTACAGTTTACTTAGAGTGGTTCAGAGAGATCTCAGCTTTGCAAAACAGAAACATATTCCAGGCTACCCTGTCTAGCAATTTTGTTGCTGATAATCAGAGTCATTACTGTTGCTTCTGAGCCCAAAACAACTCAGGTTCATTTTTACATTTGAGCATCACCAACTTGAAAATCTAGTCTCAGGGCACACTACTTTGAGGGTTAAGATGACCAGACCTTAGCTCAGAACAAAAAAAACCACCACAATAGCACACAAAGCCCCCTCAAACAGGAAAAAACAAAACAAAAAAGCTCACAAGCCAACAGTAAAGTCTAACTAGCTTCAGAACAAATTCAGTCATGAGATTAAAATTCCTTGTTTTCCACTATATACCTACAGCTAACAAAATAGAGTACATTTCTGATAAAAACATGCCTCTCTGGTTTTCAAAAATAAATCACATTTTCCCTCTGTTCTCTACAGCCAGGTACACAAATCCTACATGGTTGGATCATTTCAAATCTACATACTTGCGTAATGATTGAGAAATCGGTCCTCTCTCCCAAACATCTCAGAGGGCTTCAGTATTATAGCATTTGGAAATTCTTCCCTCACTGTCTTCTCTCCAACAGCCTACCATGCAATTAAAGAGAACATATTCATTAGATCTGTTCTCAACAGTTGAGAAAAGGATGCCTTTTCAGGACTTAAATGCATCCCGACGACAGCACTGAAAGAAATGACACCATTAGTAGCACAAAAATTATTTATATCTGAGCAATTTCATCTTTGAGATGCTATGCTCAGCTAAAGGTCTCACAGAACATCCCAAAAGTCCCATAAAGATGTATTATTAGATGTATATAGATGTTATTTCTTCAATTTGAGGTACAATACAGTCTTACTAGTGAAGTGACACAAATTTAAAGGGACAATGTTCAAAAAGGAAGAAGCCTAAGTACCTAAGTGCTTCTCTTGCTTACAGAGCTTGGAAGAAAACAGGTTTACATAACCCCTACTACATTATCAGAACACCCTACCAACTGCTTAAGTGCAGTTAGAAATTTCAGTGGCAGCTATCTACTTTCCACAGGGCCAGTGCAGTAAGGCCCAATTATCCTACAGAGTTGTTACACATTGAGAGCTACCAAATTTTAACCCTGGTTTAAAAAAAAATAAATTATACTAAAGACAAAGCAAAGTACAGTGAGCTCAAACAAAGCAAAAAATAGCTGAAATTGGAACAATAGCTATATTAAAAAGAGAAAAACAATAATAAAAATTTACACCTCCTAATAAGGAAAAAAATTATAGGATACCAAACCCAGATATTTTCTTTTTTTTTGTGCAAGTGCAGGTAACAATCCCACTCCAAGGGCCTATAATTGTGATACTCATCTGTTTTTTGCAGGATTCATCTTATCATTCACTTACTTTGCTAGGTCATTCCATCCTTAGATGTTAAATCTGATATTGGATCCCAAACCATCAAACTAGTTCCTCTTTCTTAATGACAGCAATTTTAGATTCAAAGATATTCAAGGCCAGAAGAAAGGAAGAGCTTTCAGGAATATAAGATCTATTTCCCTCCAAAGCACAGGAAATACTAAGGAGGATTTCTAGCTCCAATAGGCACAGGAACTCAAATTCCTCAGCTGCAGAAAGCATTCCATAGTAAATTCATACACTGATTTCCTTCAAACAGATCCAGTTGGGGAAAAAAAAAAAAATAAAAGTAGGCTCTCAGGAGAAATATTCAAAAGGATTCCAGACTTACTTTATTCCTGAGGTATTTTGAAGGACTCTTCATGTTGGCATTCAGATGAGAGATATGAACGAGAGTTTCCACCCCAGCTTCTCTAGTTATCTGTGCAATACTTTTAGGAATATTTACAAATTCATCTTCAAAACTGAAGTTCCTAAAACAAGGCAAAAAAACAAATTTTACCTCAAGAGCAATCAACACTAGCTGCCTACCAACCAAATAACAATCACTACGTACTACCTGACTGTATTTCAAAAACCTATCTCAACATTCTTTGTTAGAAACAAGGTTTGCTTTTGTGAAGGACTCCTCATATAATAAAAACTACTACTGCATTTCACTTACCTGTGAGCTTCAATTCCAGCTTTAGAATTGTCTGGTTTTTCACCTGTTTAGACTGAATCAGTATGAAGTAACCTCTGTGACAAATAGAAAACTCTTCCCAAGTGAAAACAGATTTTTTTTTTTTTTTAAGTGCTGCATCTTAAAATTTGACTTGATTTGATGCACTCAAATACACTACAAAAGAGATCAAAAATTCTGAGCAGCCTGCTTTAGGGCAGGTAGTAGGCACTGAGTAAGTGGACAAAAAAAACCTAAAGAACACACAACTGGAAAATTTTACATTGACAGAACAGTTAGAACCATTTCATAGCAGCTGTGAGGAACTAAAGAGTTGGGTGGAGAGGAACCTATTGAAGTTCAACAAAGGCAAGAAGAAGGAACAACCCTACGTATCAGCACAGGTCAAGGGCTGACCTGCTGGAAAGAAGCTCTGCTGAGAAAGACCTGAGAGTCCTGGTGAAAAAGTTAGCCATGATCCAACAGCATGCTCTTGTGGCCAAGAGGGACAATGGTATACTGGGGTGCACTCAAAAGAGTGTAGCCAACAGATGGAGGGAGGTTCTCCACCCCCTCTACTCTGCCCTAGTGAGGCCATATCTGGAGTACCGTGTCCAGTTCTGGGCTCCACAGTTCAAGAGAGACAGGGAACTACTGTCAAGGGGCAACAGGCACAAACTGGAATGGAACACCAGAGGTTGTCTGAACGCAAGGAAAAGCTTCTTTACTTTGAGGGTAACAGAGCACTGGAACAGGCTGCACAGAGAGGTTGTGGAGTCTCCTCTGGGGATACCCCAAACCCACCTGGAAAAGTTCCTGTGCAGCCCGATCTAGGTGAACCTGCTTTGGTAGGTGGACTGGACTAAATCATCTCCAGAGGTCCCTCCCAACCCCTACCATTCTATGATTCTGGGACTTCAAGAAGCATGCAGAATGAACAACTCCACTCACTTTATGGCATTCAAGGGGCCTAAATTAGGGGGTTCAACTGTAATCTAGCTTGGCATCTGATCAAGAACAATACAGAAGCTCTGTCTCCAAGCAGAACTGACACTATAGACAGGCAACAATCCCAAAATTCTTTCCAACTATCCCAAGACTGCAGGAAAGCAAATTAGCTCCTCATGTCTTTATATTGTCCTTGTAAGCACCCTGCTCCATCTTTTTCATTTGCTTTGGGTAACAAACATCTTGTCCAAATGCCTCTCTCACTCTGTCCTTATCTACTCCCACAGCTCTTCAGATCCCACTGGAGTCTAAAGAAAGCCTTAAAAATAAAAAGTTATTTTTGACCCTTCAATAACTAATCTGATCCTGGGAACCATCACTCCTGTTCTACTCACAGAAATAGATTTTAGAAACACACAAGAACGAACAACATCCCTCCTGTAACTATGGAGTTTTCAAACAACATAGTATACACAGATGAGACTGTGCACTAGTACTAGGCAAAGAGGAAAGTATTTAATGGCAGGCTTTACTTTTTTTGACTGATCTCTACTTCTAATCTTACTCTTTTTTATTTTCCTTGTTAATTTTTCATAGACTACAATGGTTAGTCTGACTTCATGTTTAACAGATCATGGAATTTTATCTCAGGGTTTCAGCACCACCATTAATATCATATGTAGAAAACCCATGATAAGAACATTTGTGCAATACAGTGGTAAATTCTGGAACATCCAAAGTGTTTAATGTACCAAGACTCCTTTGCTTTTGAAGCTGATCAGAATGACAATGTCTGCAGGGTTTTAACTAGAATGAAATGTTTTCTTGTCTTCCTCACTCTTCCTTTCAGTGACAAAGAAGCTCTTCCTTATTTAAATTATACTTTTTAAACAAGTCCAGAAATTTTAAAGGGGAAGTACACATGAAATACATATCTGAAAGATAAACACAGATTACATTGTCCTTGGGCCAACTATAAAGACTCTTTTCTTCCCTCACTTGCACTCTACAACAAAATTTATTCTGTTTTGACAGCAGTGTTTGAGCTCCTACATTCATAACTGAGTAACAGAGCAAAGCAACCCTGACAGGGGTTTGTACACTTTCACCTATATCCCAAAGTCTGAAGATATAAACAAAAACCTTGTCAGGTGCACAAGACCAAAGTTAATTCAGGTTTGGTGGGCTTTTTCCCAAGTAAACTATGTTATAGTCTCCAACAGTGGGACAAGGAGATAAGTGGCTATCAGATAAAGAAAGTACCTCTATGATACTGATTGTGAAATCAAAGTCTCCCAGAAGTTATGTACAATATTTGACTAGACAGGGAAAAGCTGAAATATTTTAGGAAAATAATTTTACAAATTGAGACTACTAATTCTATTCATACAATTTGACTAACAATTCTACAATTTGAACATCAAATGGCTGCTCACAAAAAAAAAAAGAGCAATAAAGGCATTAGGTTTGTGAACACAGATGAAACTGGTACCTACATTTGTTTCAGCCTACTACAACAGCAAAATTATGTACCATATAAAGGTAAATCACACAACAGAGACTTTTTTCTGGCAGTTCTGCACCAGGCTTTAAATAAAGTGAACATAATTGCACACATTTAAAAAAGGCTATTACAGGTATTTTTAACTTAAAATAAATATGGGATTTTTTTAAAAAGGATTTCAAAAAGGAACTGTTTTTAAAAATTATTACCAAAAAGTGCTAATAGTATCCAAAAAAAAAATCTGTCAAGGAATGATGTTATTAATCATAATCTTAGGGACTCTCCATTAGCTATTCCTGTTTACCAACATTTACCAGAGAACAGAAAAAGCTTGTTCATAGCTTATTCTAGCAAGCAACAATTCAACACTGCATTGAAGTGCCAGGATGAAAGTCACTTCTGCAATAATGTCAATATGAGCTTACAGAAACTGGTGAGCCCCTGTCAGCTACAGGAGGGCACCCGTGAAACATCTGCAAGGTGTATGAAGCAGCACATTGCACTCTGACAGAACAAAAACTGCACACTAGAAGATCACAGAAAGAATGTACTTTTCAAGAGCAGAAACGTGTCCAATACCTGGTGCAAATCTATCTAGATAGGAACAGAAAAAGGAAAATTACTTTGTTTCCCATTCCTTTCCAACAAGATTAATGACCACATTGCTGTGTTCCACC